CCTCGCCCTCATGTCATTCCAATCCCTTGAGACCTTTCATCGATGTCGCCAGAAAGCAAATTATTTTAGATGAAATCAGAGAGCTCCCTCATCCTCCATAGACAGCAACAATCGCGAGATCATAAAACGCACGGTCAGTGCCTTTCTATGCTTAGGGCGAGTGTCCACCAAAGCATTTTCCCGAGCTGAGCTTCTTTTATTATTGTCAATTAAAAGTGTGCTTGAATATTTAGCTGTGCAAAAATGCTTTGGTGGACTCCTTTAGGGCAGGTGTCCACTGAAGTGTTTTTGTGCTGTAGAAATGCAGGCTAAGATTTGTTTTGTTTGTTTGTTTTCGATGGAAGCATAGCATTTTTTAAATGGCGGCAGTGTAGCCAGGCACTGAACGTGCATTTCTAAAAACGCTCAGCTGTGAGCACTTTTCTTAAAGTAATGGCTGGGGGGTAAAGGCTGAAGGTGGATTTACCCTGCTTTGAATGAACTCTTGGAACTTTGGTTCCTGTTCTGGATTTTAAATGTCTTGGGATTATTGCTGTGTATGGAGGATGAGAGAGCTCTCAGATGTCATCTAAAATATCGAAATTTGTCTTCTGAAGCTGAACAGGTGTTCCAGAAGATTGAAAGGACACAACGGTGCGTAGCAGAATACTTATTTTTGGGTGAACTAGTCCTTTAAATGGCATGAAATTGCAAGATAAGTGCAGTTTTCTTACCAGGTATTACATTAGGAGAAGACAATAGCCCCTTTCACACATACAGACCTTTCAGGAAAATTGCCGGCAATTTTCCGGAAAGGTTGTATGTGTGAACAGGTCCTTTTTGAAAATACCGGTAAATTCGTTCTGGCTATTTTCCGGAAAGAGAAGTTGTAACATTACCGGTAATTTGCCGGAATGCTGCGCTGTGTGAATGCAGAAGGAAGATTCCCGTAATAAGCGAGTGCACGTCTAGAACGTGCTGACGTGAGACGTCTGCTTTAGCCAATCACATCAGTCAGACGCATTTACGTCCGCGCGGTTTGTGAGGATAAAAGCCTTTGAATATTTTTCCAGACACATTTAGCTGCTAGAAGTTAGTCAGATCACGTTTATATGTTCTTCTTTATGCCAACCGTGTAAATAATCATCGATGAGATGCTTATGACAAGCCGTTGTTTGTTTACCTTCAAGCTTTGCGTGTGCCTGTGTACTGCCTGTGAGCGCCTGCACACGCACATATTATGAACATCTCGACATGCGAAAGTGATCCTGCGAAAGTTGTTCACAATATTGATCATCCACAGAGTTTGTAATTTAGTCAAATGTTGACAAATACAAGCGCAGCCGTTTAAAGCTCATTTGTGGTGAATGATGTCAGAATTTACCGGTATTTTGGAATGAATGTGTGAATGCTCTTTTCCGGAAAATTTCCGTAACGTCCTCGCCTGTGTGAACAGCGCTTTTTTCAATATACCGGTAAAGTCTTTCCGGAAATTTTCCGGATATTTACCGGTATCACTGTGTGAAAGGGGCTAATGAGTCCACTTTTTATGCAAGACACACAAACCTTCTTGAATGTAAACGTTGGCCTCATTTACCATGGTTATTATCTGCCACGCATCAATGTGGACACCAAAACAGCAGTGCAAAGGCTTTCAGGAGGATTAGATCTGTAGGTCACCCCTACATGGGGTCAAAGTAAACAAACTAGTTCTTTTAACATTCGGTTAGCACATTGATTTCAGTCATAACACTTGTCTTGATTTGTAATGGGTCAGTTAAAAGGTACACATTAAGTGTCACTACAATCAATGACATGACAAAATAACAATAGGGGATGAAACTATCGCTTCGGATGCATCATGACGTGGGTCATTCTTCATTTGTGGTGGCGAGTGTCATCGCTCTACAGCTGAAATAAGCTGTGAATACCAATACATCATGAAATGTTTATATTCTCTAGGGCAGTGGTTCTCAAACCTTTTTCATCAAGTACCACCTCAGAAAAAAATTGTCTCTCCAAGTACCACCATAATAAGCAGTATTGAAATACAGTAGCGTAGTAGGCCCGGTAAAGCAGCTACAACTCTGCACAGTTCAGAAACGTGGCAAATTAATTTCTATTATTAAGAATATTTATTATTGTCAGCCACTTTAAACATTATAAATAGTCTAAACATTAACACTGTACTGTGCTTATAGGTAAAAAAAAAAAAAAAAAACTAAAAACGTTAATATTTAAAATTAAAATGTGCTTTTAAAAGTAAAAAAATGGTAGATTACTGTTCTTAAAAAGTAAAAAAAAATCTGTTGTACTTAAATGTAAAGTATTAACATATAGTAGAACCAGACATATAGATAGTCTGGTTGTCTCAAGGTTTTTTTTTCTTCACTCCCATCAGGTGAAGTTTTTTTTCCCTCTCCGCTGTCGCCACTGCCTCGCATGGTTCAGGATTGGTAGAGCTACGCATCGATGAATTTGCTCTTCAGTGTTTGAACTCTCAGTAATGATTAAATCACACTGAACTGAGCTAAACTGAACTGAACTGAACTTAAACACTAAAACCTGAACCACACTGTTCCAGTTACTATGACCATTTATGTGAAGCTGCTTTGACACAATCTACATTGTAAAAGCGCTATACAAATAAAGCTGAATTGTATTGAATAGTAGCCAATTCATTAAAACCTGGGGATGTTGCTTGGACCTCATAAACTATATGTCATCACATTGATGTATAAATCATTTTTGATAATTTTTTCAATATATGTACCATACGACATATTTAATTCCTTCACGTACCACTAGAAGGAAGCTCGCGTACCACTAGTGGTACACGTACCACAGTTTGAGAACCACTGCTCTAGGGCACAAACTATTTGTGCACTTTTAAATAGATAATTCACTTCAAAATAAAATAATGCGCTTTCTATTTTCTCACACTTGAATGGAAAAAAGCAGCCATTGACGTATATAGTAGCAAGCAACACAAATACTATGGAAGTGACTGGTTGCTGCTTTCCAACATTCTTTAGTAAACCTTCCATTGTGTTCAAAACAGGTTTTGAACAAGTGACTAAGGGTTTCATTTCTGGGCAGACTACCCCTTTAAGCCTCTATTTTAAGGGATGTACTGTATTATATTAAGTTTAAATGTATAACAATACATTTTATTTAAAAAAAAAGTGCTTTTATAAAATCTTCCTCTCATTTGCCACCCCAATTAAAAATGACCAATGTAAATGTACACTCACCAGCCACTTTATTAAGTACACCTTACTCAGACCTGCCAACATTTGTCTCTGAAAATCCAGGAAACCAGGTGGTAGGGGTGGACGTGCAGTGGTGGGGATGTCTAGGTGGGTGTACCCGTGACGTTCCAAGGGGCATGTTACGGGTGAAATTACGGGAGTTTTCTAGGAGGAATAACAAACCGAGTCTCCAGGGAAAAACGGGAGTGTTGGCAGGTATGCTTACTAGTACCGGTGCTTTCAGAACTGCCTTAATCCTTCATGGCATATATTCAACAAGGTACTGGACCCAAAGTGTGGCAAGAAAATATCTCCCACACCATTACACCGCAGCCTGAACCATTGATTCAAAGCAGGATGGATCCATGCTTACTCTTAATTCTGATCCTGCCATGCGAATGTGGCAGCAGGAATCGAGACTTAGCTGACAGGAATGGCACCCAGTGTGGTCTTTTGCTGCTGTAGCTCATCTGCCTCAAGGTTGGACGTGCGTTCAGAGATGTTCTTCTGCATACCTCAGTTGGAACGAGTAGATATTTGAGTTAATGTTGCCTTTCTATCAGCTTGAACAAGTCTGGCCATTCTCCTCTGACCTCTGGCATCAACAAGGCATTTGCGCCCACAGAACTGCCGCTCACTGGATATTTTCTCTTTTTTTAGACCATTTTCTGTAAACCCTTGAGATGGTTGTGTGTGAAAATCCTACAGTTTCTGAAATACAGTACTTTGAACAGCCCGTCTGATACCAACAACCATGCCACCCCATTCTGATGCACGGTTTGAACTGCTGATCGTCTTGACCATGTCTACATGCCTAAGTGAGGTTTATTTATAAACAAATTTCGAGAGGATCACGTGCTTATGATTGTTCACAGCTGTTCCAACTTTAGCTAACGACTGATTATCCTATCAGATGATCCTTAACTCACTATAAATAACCAGACTTTTCTCATCTCAATATCTTCGTCTTGAAGAACCCCCCCCACCCAACCCTACTATCCCACCTTTCAAACGGGCGTCACGGTGGCCAGCGATTAGCGCTGTTGCCTCACAGCAAGAATGCCCCTGGTTTAATTCCTTTCCAAACCAGGTGACATTTCTGTTTGCTCGTTCTCCCCGTGGTCGCGTGGGTTTTCCCCGGGTCCTCCGGTTTCCTCCCACAGTTCAAAACAAGCACTCTAAACAATTAATCCAAATACTTTAGCTAAACTCTGAGTACACCTTTCAGCATCCATATCCGACACTTAGCTAACAAGCAAGAGGCGCAGTCTTCGAGATCTACCTGAGCTCAAACTCCCCTCTCGCCTTGCAACAGGAGGGAGCCCAGGGCTCGAGGATCTTATAAGCTCAGGGCTCTCTCCCGGGACAGCACGCCAAGCTAGCTTTATTATCAATCATCAGCTAAGTGTGAACTCTTGAAATGCATTGAGTTGCTGCCACGTGAGTGGCTGATTAGAAACTTGCATTAACGAGCAGTTGGACAGGTGTACCTAATAAATTAGCAAGTGAGTGTACATATCCATGTACAAGTATCTGAGGACCTGAGAGACTGGATTGTCAAGCATGCACAGCACACTGTTTTAACATTTGACATCTTTAACATACAAAGTTTATGTACTGTAGGTTGTAATTGGCATCCTTTTTATACAAAAACTGAAAGACATAATTAGCATGTGTTGTGTCTCCGTTGCATTGTCTGTCAAGAAACCCCATTCTGTTGAGTTGTAAAAACAACCTCTAGAAAAAGTAAAAACACTTAAAAAGACAATATAATAAACTGATTTAAAACCTTTATACATATCTTACATCGTCTTATAGATTATTGTCTGCACAAACTGGATGCTATAACATCTGCTATTGCTCGCTTTGCAAGTTTGATGGACTCAGCTTTTATGACGTTGACATAATAAAAAAAAAAAGAGGTAAAAGAAAACAGAAGAGGCAAGCTTTACCAAACATGACTAGCTGCCAGACTTCTTGATCCTCAACCCGAATGATATCATCCTTTGTGGTTCTCCTCTGAGTCTACATATGGCCACATTGGTCCCGGATTGGTGCAAAAGCTCATCGAAGATGCACCATTATGGCCGAAACCATGATTCAATCCAAAACCATTATGTCAACAAAGAAAAGTATATAATTATTAGGTAATAATGTTAGGTTAATGTGATTATTGCTTTGAACGTTCACTGAAAGGAAAATCTGAAAACTGGTGTGCAGTGATCCAACGTCAATGGCACGATTGGCTCCAAATGATCTGACATGGAAGAAGGTGGAGCGTTTGTGTCACCTAAGCATTTTGGTCCTGCATGGAGGATGAGGAGATGTTCTCGCTATAGAGGAGCTTTGAACTGATTACCAGAGAGTTGCTGTCGGAGGGACGGCTTTGTTCCTGTTGCGTCGCCCAGCTTTCTCCACACCACCTGGAAACAAATGGGAAAAAGCCACTAAACAGTTCAGCCATTTTACATGCTGTATGTCAGTCACATAGATATTTACATTTGATGCCACCTATGCTGTTGTTTTCTATTGGGGGGGGGGGGGGGGGGGTTGCTTGGGGTCTTAAGCTCCTAATGTATTGTCAAAAGCCCCTGATCTTTTGTAATATGTTGCACTAAAAACAAAACGGTTGTAAAACAATAATTTTGTTATCCAAGTACTTAAAATTACCACATACATTACGCACATTCAATTCAATGCAGCTTTTGTTTCGGGTATTTAAATAGTCAGCAGTTCAGTTCCTGTTTAGTCCCTGTTTCTACCGGCAGGTGGGAGTAGGACTGTTGTTACACAGCAACCGTTAAAAAAAATCCTGCCACTGCACTGTCATCATTCATTCCTTATTTTGAGGGGCTGAAGCTGATGAGGTAATAATACAGCTGTTTCACGAAACTGATTAGTTATAATTATTTTTTTTATATAAAGTATCAATCAATACTTGTTTTTATCATTTAATATTTTAAATATTTGTTTTGCTTATTATTACATAATTTAATCGAAAACATACAATTTTTAAGAGAAGGTTTGTCCCCAAACCCCATGCCTAAACCCACCATTCGAAAAAGTTTCTGTGTTTGGACAACAGTTCATCTTTTAAAACAAGCTCTGCATCTTTTAAACACAAAAAATAAAAACAAATAAGATTGCTGAGTATTTTCAATTACCATAACCCCAAAATACACTGCTATTTGTCAAGTGTGTTTAGCTAAATGCTACTTCGACCCACAGAAAACAAACGAAAGCCAGCACAAACATCCATTCATCCAAATCTCTCATGAAGGGTGTCCACAATGGTGTTGACGAGTCCAGGATTCTCCAGGTGAGTCACGTACAGAGGTGTTATTGTGCTCCAAGCTGGATTCCCTCGTTCCCACATTCCAGTGTGGGGCCCAACAAACAGATCAAACTATATCGGCTCACTCTATCAAGAGCTCAGATCTCTGTGTACCAACCTGTCCATTAACTGACCTCTCTATGAACTCCACCCAGTTGTTAACGCTTCAAGCTCTACAGAATGATCCATGGAAATTAACTACATGGGCGCAAAGTCTGAAGCGCAGGGCGCAAAAGCATTAAGGGCGAATCCAAATCCACTTTTGCTATTTTAAGACCATGATCAGCGGCGCATGGTCTAACAGGGTTGAGCTTATTCTCTTAATGTGTTGTAGGTGTGTTTTCAGAATAAACCAATCAGAGTCTCATCTCCCATTCCCTTTAAGAGTCAGTTGCGTCGCACCATGGTGCATTTGCTATTTACATGGCGGGTGTGTTTCCCAAACAACGACAAAACTAGTGGCTGAACTATCATAGTACGATGCATCGTTTGGGAAAAAAATGATGTAGTGATCAGTGTTTCCCCAAAACCGTAGTTTCTCTGTCGCAGATCCATCTCTTGAACCTCGTTTGTTATAACGTGAAACGCCCATAATGATGCTCTAAACGGAGTGGAGTAACAACTTCCTTAAAGAAAATGACCATAATTTTTTTGTATAGACCATTTCGAAGTGGTGATGTCATTGGCCCATGAACATTTCCTGCTTGTTATTAAACAATTTCATAACTGCAAGAAGAGGCACGACACTTCAATCCTAGCTTGATGTTAAAGCAGCAATCATAACATTATTCATCAATATGTGGCTATTTGGATTCTCAGGAGCTATAGAAATTAAAACAGGAAATATGTTGGGACAATTGTTTTTGTTTACACCCCTTTAAAATGTTCTAAAAAATTATATTGTTTTACGTAAACACTCACTTAAAAATAATCCAATAGTAGTTTTAGTAAAATTAACCACAAGTTTTCTAGATTAACTGAAATATATGTAAAAGGCACATATAGGGCCACTGTTTCCTTTACAAATATTATTGAGAATATTCCATATTCTATTCTAAAAAATAAAACTACTTAGCTAACAATCTCATATATAAATCATATAAATTGTTAATGGTTGTAATTTACAGTAAGATGTTTATTAGGAAAATTAATATTAATAATAATAATAATTATTATTATTGGGCGACACATGGTGCAGTGGGTAGTGCTGTCGCCTCACAGCAAGAAGGTTGCTGATTCGAGCCGTGGCTGGGTTAGTTGGGGTTTCTGTAAGGAGTTTGCATGTTCTCCTCATGTTCGCACAGGTTTCCTCTGGGTGCTCTGTATTTTACGCCATATTACTTTTGATCTACCTTGTTTGTGTTTTGTTGCTGAAACTTAAATTAAGTGTAACTTCTTGTTGTCAATTTTGCAATTGTCAATTGGAGTAACAATTGATGACCAACTAAACTTCTCTGACCACATTTCTAGAACTGCTCGATCATGCAGATTCGCACTCTATAACATCAGAAAAATCCGACCCTTCTTATCTGAACATGCAGCTCAACTCCTTGTTCAAGCTCTTGTTTTCCCTAAACTGGATTACTGCAACTCTCTACTAGCTGGGCTTCCAGCTAACTCTATCAAGCCTCTTCAGCTGCTCCAGAATGCAGCAGCACGAGTGGTCTTCAATGAACCTAAAAGAGCACATGTCACTCCGCTGCTCATCCGTTTGCACTGGCTGCCAGTTGCTGCTCGCATCAAATTCAAAGCTCTGATGTTTGTCTACAAAGCGACTTCTGGCTTTGCTCCTTCTTATCTGCTCTCACTTCTGCAGATCCTTAACTGCATCAGAACGGCAGAGTCACTCGCTGTTTTCAAGAAACGACTAAAAACTCAACTATTTAGTCTCCACTTCACTTCCTAATCTGCAATTGCCTCTCTGGATATACCAATAACTGTACTCAAAAAAAAAAATAAAATAAAAAATACTAATACTTTCCTTCATAGACTTTACAGACCTGAAACTTCCCTATAGCACTTATTCATTGTTGCTCTTAGTTGTGTAAATTGCTTCCTTGTCCTTATTTGTAAGTCGCTTTGGATAAAAGCGTCTGCTAAATGACTAAATGTAAATGTAATCTATTTTAAATACAAAGGCACTTTTATAATGATTGATAAATGTATGTGCATTTTCATGAAGTCATGTTTTGTTATAACCATTTTTTCAGACTTTTGACATTGATGAATACTCCGATTTTGACCTCTGAATTGAGACTTTGAGAACTCTTGTAATAAGATCTACAACAACAGTTACTATAATGCTGTGTTCACACTAGACACTTTTCACGTGTAAATAGAACATTATGAGTTTACTTGCTTTATTCGCGTTGTTGGAGAAAAGAATATTTTTATTTATTATTTTTGTTACCTTTTCTTTTCATTAAACAATTGTATTTGTATTCCTTAATGTTATATATATTAACCAAACTTCTTCTCAAGTGTGATATGCCTTGGATACTAATGAAGCATTTTTGCAGAAGTAGCAGATGGAAATGCAAAGGCCTGAATGTCTAAAATTAACTTGATTAACTTAATTAACTGTGAGCAGAGCAGAGATGAGTTGAAATTGAACACTGAATTTGCAGTTGAGAAGTCTTGTACTTTTGACATTGTGAAGAGAATTAGTAGAAAAAGAGGACGTATGTATGGGTGCGGCCAATGGAGGACTGGAGAATGGTTGACAAGTGACAAATTTCACTAAACTCCACCTGTCAATATCAGCTGCATATAAAAGTGTGAATCATGAAATGAAAGTTGTTGCGCACCTCCTAAATGTAATTCTTGCATTGCATTGGGGATATCAGAATTGAACATGAATGCAATTATAGGGCAATATTCCAACAGAGCAAGAAATTCACTTCACAATGACACAAATTTGCGTCATGCGAAAGGCTATTCTAGCCTGGTGATTCTAGATTCGTTGCTAAATGGCTAACATGGATTTTATTGAGAGAGTAGATATGTTTTTGTGATTTAGGAAGGCTGAAAAACAGTGTATATTAGTTTGGCGCCATGTCTGAGTGCACTTGAACAAACTTTGCGTTGACTTAACATGCAAATCACTCACTCTTGATGCTTGATCCGCGTCTGGTTTGAACACAGCATAATAGGATCAGTAATGTTTTTAGTAGGACCAACTGACAGAGGGAAGTCCCATATTTGTTTTAGAAAGAACTATCACTATCGAAAGTGGAGTAAAAGTCACTCACATTGCACATTTCCCGCACTATGGCTTTCTCTTTCTCACTCAGGTCTTCCTCACTTTCCTCTGGAAGCTGTTTTTCCAGATTATCATGGACCTCCAAAACCTGTTAAAACATGGGCAAGAGCATTTTGTTTTTGAAACCAGACAACACATTCATCAATTGTCGCAAAACAAGGACAAATCATATACAAAAATCATACATATTTCAATCCTCTGAACACAAACCTCACTGATTCCCACATCTTTGAGCTTCAGTTTATTATATTCAGTGTGTTCTATGTACACTAGGTACACATTCATCAGTATTTAAATGTACTGTATGGACATAATGATATGAAAATATTATATATGTTCCAATGTCTTTTAGGTTTTTGAAGGGGTGGTCAACCACAATATTGTACTTTAAACTTTAGTTGATGTGTAATGTAGCTTGGTCAACATAAACAACAAGTAAAGTTCAATGCAACAAGAGACATTGGCTGCGTCCGAAACCGCATACTTCCATACTATACAGTACACAAAAATCAGAAGTACCCGAATGACTTGCTACTTCCGGCGAGATTCTAGAGTGCGCATCCCATGCATGCTGGGCTATCCCATGATGCCCCGCGAGAAAATTCATGAATGAGTGTAAAGTGACGCAACTGACGCCGGTAGGTCACGTGACCATGAAAAATTGGCGGATGTAGTATGTCCGAATTCCATTGATCATACTTTTCAATTACATACTGTATAGAACATACTTTTCTAACGGCTGAGTAGTATGTTTGAATTCAAATGCAATACCTACTGTGTAGTAGGCAGTTTCGGATGCAGCCATTGGCTTTTACAGAGTTAGCTTACCAAAGCCTACAGCGAACAACTTGGGGATTACAAAAAAATAAATCCAGGCTTTTGAGATCACAAGGGCTTCCGGTTACATGCATTCACCATGCACACACCCTTCGCAGCTAAGGAGCGTAGCCAGAGGTGCTGTAATGATAAAGCAGATTAAGCTAAAATGCCATCCAAATGCTGCTATTTCCACAGAGCTCGTTTTTGTATTTGGGCTTTCAAAGGACACGACACAGACAGAAATGCTAAAAATGGAACTTAATTATGTTCCAGAGAATTATAAAAAAAAGATATAGCTAGCATCTGACAAGGGAGAGCATCCAGCATCTCTCCCAGTTCAGTGCTGGATTCGGCTAAAAACTCCTGCAACCGACGAAGCTTTGGATTGTGAGCCACAACCTGTAAGTATTTTTATTTGTTAAAATTGATATATTACATGCACAGTTTCTAGCATAAATGGTATGTTGTAGTGAGGACGTAAACAAGGATGTGAACAACAGGAAATGCTGTTTGGCACCGCTAACAATTTGGCTACAAATCCATATTTATCAGTCTAACCGCTGTAAACACCCACAATCTTCACCAGCTCTGCAGTCTCTCTCAATGCGGCTGCTTTTCGTGCATTCTACATATCAAATAACAAACTTGCAAAAAATATGAGAACGCTTTATATTACTTACACATGTTTATTCTGAATATATGTGAAAGACATTTGTCAGATTTTATATTAGAGAGCAGGCGTGAGGCTCAGCTGTGTGCTCTTCATTTTCTGTCTGATTCAGGCAGCTAACACTGCTAACAGCTGCTCTGACTGAACAGTTTACACAGCGCAAAAGCGCACGCTTGTAGGGGCGTGACGTGAAGCCAATCCACGAACCACAGCAAATTATGTTAGCTGACCAATCAGAGCCTCTTAAAGGCGGGCCTTTCGAAGGATCCAGGAAATGTGACGGTCGTTTTCATGTTAGCTGTGTAGCTGTATTTAATCAAAGTAAGATGCATAAAAAATGATGTGATTTTCTACGAGTAAAGCATGAGCACACAGCGAACACAACCTTATAAACACAACTAATCCTTAAAAATACACTGTAGACCACCCCTTTAAAGATACAATACTGACTTTACCGTTTTTTTTTTTTTAATTTCCAGCCAAACTTAAATAAAAAATAAAGACTTTCTACAGAAGAACATAATAGGAAATCCTGTTGAGTATTTCCTTGCTCTGTTAAACATCCCATTTAAAGGGCCATGAAACCCCCCATTTCAGCAGGGTGTTTTCACACCTCTAGTTTGGAAAAAGTCAGGAAAGTGGGTGTGTCTAGCTCTGTTTGGGTGGGAGTGTCGGGGGAGGGAAAATGGGCAGGGTTTGAATAAAAATGGGAGTTGCCATTTGGGCATGCGCCGAGGACAGAGGAAATACAAACACACACACACACACACAGGGGAGAAAGACAGTGTGTTTAATGACGGTGAAATGTTTGATACCGCACGTCGTATTGGAGAAAAAAAGCCTCTGGATTTCTCTGTAAAATACGACGAAAATTCAACACGTCGGTTGGCAAAAGATTGCTTACAGTGTTCACGTGTTTACACTCAGAGAGCAGCATTTACAGCGGATCTTTCAATATTGTAGTGATATCAACGTACTGTAAACTAAGCAACTTAGAAATCATTTTGACTAAGGTCTGTCTTTAAACACTGAAAGAGTACAGCTGACCATACGAACTATAACTTTGCCATCTTAACGAACAAAGAAAGGGCGCTGATCGCACACACTTACCGAATCTGTAGACAGGACAATCAGCTCATACTGGAGCTGAGTCTTTTTTAAAGGAGACGAGCAGCAAATCCGGATCTCACCATTGATGAGAAATGCTCTCGAGTAAAAAAATGTTCCAAACAAACGCATTTCTAGTACACGAATCCACACGTGAGTCTAGCAGCGCGCTCATAGAGAGAAAATGGAAACAAAACCTTCACATTATGAAAGCAACACTGGCGACTCGTATCTCCAAACAATTCTTATTCTTTTCCACAACTTTTGGCAACACGATGTGTATTGTCTTTCTGCCGTCTGAACACTGTTTCAGGTATAGTCTAAGAAAGCAAGCATGCATATTAATGAAGTTGCAGCGCATACATAATGGCGCGCGCTGATTGGTTTAAACCAAGCCATACTCATGAATGAACGCAACACACTCAGAGATGTAATACGGGACACTCTGGCACAGACGCCCAGTCTGCACGCTGGAATACACGCTAAGATCTCATGGCCGTGACGCAGCTTCAAGAACTCGTTTCAAACCGGAAGACCGAATTTGCTCGAAATAACGCAAAAACAACCAATTTTCACTTTTTAGTGAGATATATGTGTCCTAATAGTGTTTTTAGCAGTGTGGGACACATATACGACTGTCAACTGCTCAAAACAATGTGTTTTGGTGTTTCGTGACCCTTTAACAGGAGGGCTGATCAGTTAGTGTTTTGCTTGTGTGTGTACCTTCATTGCATGAACCACAGCTTCAGGTTTCTGTGCAGATGAGATAAATCCAGTGGAGGGAGAAGATTCACTGGTCTGCAGCCTTCCAGTGCCCTGAAGAGAAGAGCAACACATTGAGGGGTCAGTTTGCTTCTGACCAACATGGTACAGCACGTTGTTTTATTTTTGGATATGTAGAAAATGGGAGTGAATAAATACACTACCATGTGGTGAGTGGGAGTGTATACACTCCCATGTAGATTTTTGAGAAAATGTGAACATCATCATTAATTCAGTTTCGCAAAGAAATGAAACCATTAATAAATTAAATTAGCCTTTAATTATCTAATGCACGATAATCTAGCAGTACAAATGAAAGAGTGCAGCAGTGTGCTGGTCATGTGCGATCTCTTTGTTCGGACCACACCGACTGAAAGTGACACCAGATATCTATAAACACGAAAGGTCAAGTGGAATAAAATCGGCGCTTGACCTGTTTTCTCGAAGGAGACGCAGAGTCAAAACAGTTTACAGTAATTCAATTAAAGCTCTGCAAAGACTTTTAGCTGACAACAGCAAGATTTTCATGCAAGCATATAGAACATACTGAGACTTCCTGTGCACTGGCTGACTGCTGCATGTTCAAAGGCACGCTTGCATTTTTCCATTTATTCATTGGATTTTCTTTTTCAGCAGAGAGCTCTGCTCATTTTTTTCAAGGAAACATGAAAAGAAATAAGTTTGTGCCTCTAGTTCTGTGCAGGAAAACCCTGCTGAAAAAATCCAGCTTAAACCAGCCTAGGCTGGTTGGCTGGTTTTAGCTGGTCGACCAGGCTGGTTTTAGAGGGGTTTTGGCCATTTCCAGGCTGGTTTCCAGCCATTTCCAGCCTGGTCTTAGCTGGTCAGACTGGGAGATGACCAGCTAAAACCAGCTT